GGCAGGGCGCCGTCCCCGGCCAGGTGCGCAGGGCCGCGAGCCGCGCCAGCTCCCTCCCGCGCGCCTGACTTGTGCGTGTTTTGTTTTCTGCCCGGCGCCTGTCTCTGCCGCAGGACCAGTTCGTTCTTCTGCGGGCTACAAGAAGGCGGAGGATGCGATGTCCCGGGCCACGTCTGTTGGAGACCAGCTGGAGGCAGCGGCCCGCACCATTTACCTCAACCAACCGCATCTCAACAAATTCCGCGACAACCAGATCAGGTGGGAGAGGGGCGAGCGGCGGCTTCCACGCAACGGGCCACCCTCGCGCGTCCGCGGGCCCGGGGACACAGCCCCTGCCCTCTGTTCCTCTGCATTTACGCTATTCCCCGCCTGTTGTGTCCCCAGGAGGTTTTATTCTAATGTCACTGACAGAAGTCCTTCATCCCCGGAGCTGCTTTCCAGGAATCCCCCTTAATTTCATTTTAATCTGATTGCTATGTCTCGGGTTTCAGACCGTAAGGTGGGGAAATGCTTCACCCGGGAACTCCAGAGGTCACCAGGACCCGCATCCAGTCCTCGGTAGCCTGTGACATTCCCTGGAAGCTCTTTATTTGCCAGGAAACTTTGCCCATACTTAGCAGAAAAACTGAGGCCAGGCAACACCGAAGTGGCTGCACTTCGCTGGCCACGGCGCGCCAGACACCTCGACTACCTTCTGAGTGAATCTCCATTCAGGGAACTGCAGTTAGAGCCACTAAATAATGTACCCCGGGGCGTGCGGATGCGACACGGCAAAGCTGGAAACCAAACCACCGGACTCCTTAGCAAGCAGTCCGCTGAGCAAAGCTAGTTTTTTGTTTTTTGCACGGGTGTTAGTGCCTTTCCAAATGTCATTAAACTTTCAGGTTTAGACAATTTTATGCCTGGGAGTGACTTCAGAAAGTGTAGCTGCGCAGGATACAATGTTTGAATCTAGAGAAACTCAGTGATTCGGTTGCACAGAGATTAGGACAAACCTGAATTCCAGTGGAGTGTTTTTCTTCAGCATTTTGGGTAAAACCTCTTAATTGTTGTGTCTAAGTATTCTTTTTGGCGGAACTCGGAATTGAACTCAGGCCACTGCACTTGCCAGGGAAGCACTTATTCCACTGAGCCACCTCCCTGGCCCCTGTCTAAGTATTCTTTAGCGCTTGTACTGGCTGCTGAGCTTTCTTTAGAAAGGTCTGTCTGCTGGGCACTGTTGTAGCTTGAAAAGATTTGAGGTAGAATAACAGCATGTCACATGGAAGTAGTGCCTTCATTGGTTAAAGGGGTATGATACTGTGCTGGCCTTATTTTATGTTTGAACAGTGATCCTTGAATGTATATTATACTTCAGAACTGCATAGTAGGAGACAAGCTCGGTTCTCATTCTAGAATGAGTGGGTTTGTTTTAAGACACTGAGCAATAATAACCACTTTACAAACTAGGGTGGTTCTCATCAAAAGGACAGAGAGCAAATGTTGGCAAGGATGTGGGGAGAAATTGAAGCTCTCATATACTGTTGGTGGGAATGAAAAATGGAGCAGCTGCTTCAGAAAGTAGTTTGGCAGTTTTTTAAAGACTCAGTGTAAAATTACCATATTTCCAGAAATTCCACTGCTAGGTGCATTTAACCATGAGAAGCGAAAACCTACATCCATGCAAAACCTTGTGCACAGATAGTCACAGCAGTATTGTTCATCATGGTTCTGACGTGGACACAATCAAAATGCCCACCAACTGATGGATGACTGAAGTATTATGTGTCCATCCAATGGAGTGTTATTTGGCCATGAAAAGGAATGAAACATACACACCATGATCTGAATGAACTTTGAAAACTTCACACTGAATGAAAGGAACCAGTCATTCACAGTCTCATACCGCTAGACTGTATTTAAATGAAGTGACCCAAAGAGGCAAATCTATAAAGACCTAAGGTAGAGCAGTGGTTCCTCGAGCAGGGGCAGGAGAAAGCAGAAGATTTAGTGCTAATGCACATGAGCTTTTGGTGGGTCTGATGGCTGCTCCAGTCTGTCAACGCGTACTTAAAACCATTTGGAATCCAGCACTGCTGGCGCAGTTCCATTTCCTTACACATTCTCATACATTCATATTGAATTACTTTTTAAAACAGAAAGGTTATTTTTAAAAAGATACTTATAAGTATATGGAATTGAAGAGTTACTTTTCTTTTTAAACTTTGGTGCATTTTTCAAAAGTATTTTTGCTGAGTTCTTATTGTGATTCTTTTAGTTTTGATATCCAACTGTGCCTGTTTAAAGCCGAGAGAAGATGGGCATGGTGGTGCACACCTGTAGTTGTGTGCCCTTCAACCACTTGGAAGGTTGAAGCAGGAGGATTGCTGCAAGTTCAAGGCCAGCTTGGGCTACATAGTGACTTCACAGCTAACCTGAACTGCATAGTGAGACCCCCGTGTCCCCTGCCCCCCCAAAAAGTCAAAAACCAAAAACAACACCACACACACACACACACACACACACACACACACACACACACGGCAAACAAAAAGCTGAGGGAATAAAACAAGGGCTTGGCTTTTATCCCCTGGTTTCCATATGATGTGGAGATTTTAAAGAGATTTGGCAATGGGGTTTTGGTACCTGTTCTGTAATACATCTCAGTTATCGAGAGATGACTTTTAAAACTGATTTTATTCTTGCCAGATTCCAAGTGGCTTCTTGTACAATTTAATTTGTGCTTCTTTTTTTTTTTTTTGAGGGAGAGACAGGTAGGAACAAACAGTATGGGAATGTACAATGAGTTGTTAGAATAAAGAGTGCATGTACTAACTATTCTATGTAACACCTTGTGTAAGGATGTAATTGAATTTACTAAAATATACCATGTTAAACTTAATAAGTCTCTGACTTCATGCTTATTCTGTTAGTCTGAGTTTTTGAATGCACTGGAGGGGGTAGTAAGAAATTAAAATGTAGCCTTTGAGGTTCTGCTGGGTATTTGATTCACTTTTAGTGTGTATTTACATAGGAATCACTAATGGTTAAAAGCACCCTTTAGTTCATTAGGAATTAATTACAAAGCCTCTTAAGCATTAAAGTTTAAGGATTTTGCAGAACATTTTGAGCCATAGTAGTTAAGTACTTTAATGATGCTAAAGTCAAGTTTTATATGAAATACTGATTTATTTAAAAAATACTTTTTATTTTGGCTATGAATGTTTGCTAGAAGTTGATAAAGCTTTTTTTTTTTTTTTTTTTTTTTTTT